CAGCACATGGACAAAAGACACAGGAAGCAAGCAAAAGATCTGACTTTAATTGCTGCCCAAGAGAACTGCATAATGAAGAAGGTGCAAGACTGGTTCCAGGGAAAAGCAATATTTGTAAGTGGCTATGATCAAATTAGCTAGGAATCAGCCTGAGACTGTAAATGGAGCTGTGCATTTGTTAAATGGATGGCTCCTCTCCTATCTTCTAAAAATACTCTTCAAGATACTGGTATATGTCCAGTGGAAGAAAGAACACTCCTAACCAGCAATGGCTAAGTAGTTTTTCTATTAATTTATTCCAAGGACAGAAAAACAGTACATTTTAATGCAGGAGAACTGATAACAGACTGGGACAGGAAGAATACTAAAAAAACCCAAAGTAATAAAAGAAAAATTCCTGGAGTGTATTTTTGCAAAGAAAACCTCTCTAAAACACAAAGAGAAGGAAAACTCTTCAATAGCACAACAACAGTGTCAAGGGACAGAAGTTACATATCCTGATCCAACAGATCACACTGACCTAAAAAACTCTGATCCTTAACAATTTTTCTTCCTCCTTTATAGCCATAGCAAATATACCAGCTGTTACTCCTCAGTTTACAGGATATGGACTGAAAAACATAGAGCTGACTGTGCTACCCTAAAGCACAAAAAATAAAAACACCAAAAAAACCACAAACAAAATTCCCCCAGCAGAAAATCAAGCAAGGGTGTCATAGGAATTAGCACTATTTCCTATACAAATCCAAGCAGTAACACTTAAGAGATCATTATCTTCTTTTAGGAGAAAACATACATTAGTTTCCATTAACTGACAAAGAATACTTGACAGGAAAAAGTATTTCTAGTGACTCTCCATTCACTCATCCCTAAACTTTAGCCAGGCTCAAGTCAGTAAGTAATAAGGAAAAATCACAGTAATTTCATGAGGTTTACAGTGGAAGTGAGAAAAGAAAAGCAGTCAGCATCCCTAACAAGTTATCACTATGTACGTGTAATTTTTTCAGAGGGGACAGAAGAGGGCACATGGATTATTATGCTTTTAGTGGCTGGTTATTTAATGATTGCATAAAATGGTGTGCATTTAAATAAGGCCTACAGGTCCTTTTGCAGCATCTTAACTGACTGCAATGCATTGTACAGATCCTGCTCAGTATCTGCTGAGGGA